TGGAGAGAGTTATAACAAAGGGTGCTTCGACGCGTGCGCCTCCTTCAGTTGGAAATCGTTTTCTCCTTGGGATGATTTTCTCCACACAGACAGACTTTTCCTCGGATGGACGGCGGGCGACAGGGAACAAAGGAAGAGCAAAGAAGAAGGAAAAGGAGAAGAAGGACGGGTTTATAAGTACAGCGGGTGTTCGGGAAAAGACGGGAGAAGTGTGATGGCGGGAACAGCCGGGTGTGCTGACGTAAAGGTCTGCCCCGCGTGTCAAGGCGTCACATGATTCCGGTAAAAAAGATCATCTTCTTTGATCTCGGGGGGGATCGTTCATCCGGGTTTCAGGCGGCGGCCCTGGGGGGGTTTTGTTTTCAGTCATTCGGGAGTCGCGCGAGATAATAAATTACAGAAATAAAAGTTGTTATAGATACACACACATCATTAATAGTCTATAGTGTCTTCTTTTCTTTAGTAAGAGTAGTAGAGGGAGTAGAGGGAGAGACCAGAGTCCACAGGTGGAGGGAAGGAGAGTACTTCAGGGAAGGGCGGAGAGAGTGCACATGAGACTTGATAAACTCCCACAACGGGAACCCATCCACGCGGCGGTAGCTCTTGCCCAATGCAGGCGCAACGATATCCGTCGCTTCAGAGAGACGATAATGCGGGACAGACGTGTAAAACAAGTGGTGCACAACGTGTCCGTCCGTGATATTGTGCATCAACCAGTCGCCCCATCCCTTGAGGAAATACTGCCGGTCAACCGTCTCCACTGCTCCCTTGGTAAACGACCATGATCCATTGGCATAGACTTTGGTATCCACAGAATGATGTTGCAGAAAGGTCACGGCATACAGCCATGTGTTGTACACGAGCCATGGCATTCCGTATCCCCACCCCAGTTCTCTAGCCGAGCCCGCCAGCCATGCAAAGAATCCTAGGTACAAGAGCACGACTCCCGCTGAAATGACACACTGAATCCGCTCCTTGTTGTTGCGAAAGAGCTTGGACCACGGCACAAAGTGGGATCCATCGGGTAGCCCAGCCAACAAGTAAATGAACCCATAGGCCAGCGGCGCCAAAAACGGTTGTCCTCGAATAAACTTGGCTCCTGTCGTCTCTTCCTCCTCCGTCGACCAGGGATGCGACATGTCCTTGTCCTTGTGATTATGGTATGCATGGTGCTGCGCGTGCGATCGAGCCCATGGCCAGAAAGGTACTAGTAAAGCTCCATGCGTCAAGTGTCCGACAACTGCATTCAATGTTGGAAACCGCGAATACGTCCCGTGTCCGCAATCGTGCCCGATACAAAACAGACTCCACATAAAGAACCCCGTCACATTCATCCAGACAATGTACGCCGCCGTCTTAATCCATCCTTCCTGCAGGGAAGTACTTGTTGTTGACAGGTACTCGCCGTAAAAGAGGTAGCAGGCAGCCAACACGCCCGCGTCCAGCGCATAATGCAGGGTCGACCGAACAACCGACTTGTCAAAGACGTGCGCCGGCAACGACTTTCGCAGGGCCGAGAGGCTGACACTTGTTGCTTCTTGTTGTGGCATCCCCGTATTGTCCGTTTCGTTGTCCATGTTTTGACTTTGGCAAGATTTCGGAGTCGCCAACGCGAAAGCTTTTGAACAAAACCGCCCGCCACTTTTTGGGATTTTTGGCCGCAGCAAAACGCCGCCGCCCAATCGGCCGAAAATAGATTTTATGCTTTGCATGACTGTGCCAGCGGGATCAGCGGATCCAGAATTCAGCGGCGATCACTGAAACTCCCGATCCCATCACCACGGCAACCTTTAATGAACTAAATGAACTTGCACCCCACAGGCCCACTTGTCCAAAGAGTTTCTCGAGTGTTCTGCTAACAAATCCACAGACAAGAATGGCACCAACACAATCAGAACTCCTCCAATGGGCCGTCCAACATACTACCGAGAACCCCTCCGAAGGCTCAATATCTACCACCCAACAACAGCAACAACCAATCAGTTCCAACTCTGCACCCAACGCCCCTCAACCCATTGATCCCAAATGGCTCGAAGTCATTCTCGGCAAAGAGGATGCGGTCCGTATGCGAGGTAAATGCCCTTCCCTATCCTCTAAGACTGACGAACAGAAATACTTAATCGTAACTCTAGAATGTGTCGACCTGATAACATCCCCAGATCGATCAATCGATACCAAACTCGGGGCATTTGACGAATTGGAAATGTTAGTGGAATCCTTGGACAATGCCAATGATCTCCAGGCGCTTAATCTGTGGAAACCCATCTTGAGTGTGTTGGGCGGTGGAGAAGAAGTGGATGACCGGTTAAAGAGTTTTGCGGCGTGGGTGATGGGTACCGCTGTTCAGAATAACCCTAAAGCTCAAGACCACGTAAGTCCCCCCCCCCCTTCCCCTCTCGTACACATTCACAAAAAGACTAATGTCATGAATAGTTTTTACAAGCAGGAGGTCTACCCCCGCTCCTCTCCCTCCTAACCCAAAACACAACAACCGACCCAACCCGCTCCAAAACCCTCTACTGCCTCTCCTCCGCCATCCGACAAAACCCCACCTCCTTTTCCGCCTTTGACGCCGCCAACGGGTTTTCAACATTAGCCAGTGTGGCCCGCGACGCCAACCCGACCATGATGAAACGGGTCGTGTTTTTGTGGACTGCACTCATCGAGGGTGAGACTGAAGAAGTCTCGACGCGGAGTATAAGGGCTGCACTTGAATACGGTATCCCCGGTATGGCCGTTGAAGTCCTTGAAGGAGAAGAGGATCCCGATACAGTGGAGAAATGTCTCAACTTGCTCGTTGCTCTGCTCCGCAAACACGCTGATGCCATTTCCACTGAACTGGTACAGCGGTTACGAGAGGGCGTTCTGCCCTCCATAAGAGCTCGGTTTGTGAAGGGTGAAGCCGAAATTAATGTTGATACGATTAAAGAGTTGGAGGGGTTAGTCTCTTCTACCTCGTAGTTTCTCTATTTTTGTATACACTTATTTATATTACATTGTTTTGTATGCGAACGGGGTTGACAAATGTGCGTTGTACTCTTTACGGAAACACTGATGCTCCTGAATGGGTAGTGCGGACGGGAGGGTAGTGCCGTGTTCTTATCAACCCTCGGTTCGTAGAGGATGGAGTTGAGATGCATGTTTAGAGTCAAAGATGTTGGGGGTTCTCCTCTCCATCTTCATTCTATATGCACATACACTGTTAACTGATACCTCTAATTTGCAATGTCAAATGGAGGATCCGGATTTGCGATAGTCTTGAAATTTTGGTGTTTTTGTGAGTTCTTTCCAGCGATTTTTTCAGCCGATTTTTTTTTCCTGAAAGGGGGGTTGTCGTCGTCTCACTTAATCCCCTTTCAACCATTTGGATCCTGGAATACCGCCTTTTTACTTTTGCGTTGGCGATTTCAGATGTCGTGCACACGACGGTTGTGTAGCAGATATGAATGGAAAGGAGTTGGGGGGGTCTTCTTTTTCTTAATTCCCAACTGTATTGACTTATCCATTGATCGGTACGATGATTTCTATATGTATCTACATGATGTATATAAGAAGAAAAGAATGGGGGTTCGCCATATCTTTGTCCATCCATCGTGATCATGTACCCGAGGGATATTCTGGGGCTCCTCATAAGTTGCCCGTCTAATTTTGCCAATTTCGCTTGTGCTCTTCTTACCCTTTTACCACTTGTGCGATATCGAGGGGACTGTCTCTACTGTGGGGTTCTTGGGAATGATCTTTGCATAAAAGAAACGTTGTCGGGCATATCGGATCTCTCTCCCGATGAAATTCCCACAATATACCCAGATTAAGCTTAATTGACCAAAATGTTGGAAAACCAACTTCATCAATCTGGTCAATCAAACAATCATCAACCCACAAGCTCATCTCGAGTCTCAACCCGAACAAATAAACCTTCCAGTATGCCCAACCTCGCCAAAATAATGGATGCGTACATGGAGAAACAGATGCTGCACGAGCTTTTCTATTCGAGTGATTCGGATTCTTCCTCTTCCACTAATTCCTCCGCTGATTCTTCCGCCGAATCTTCTTCCTCTTTGTCTGACTCCTCCTCCAATTCTTCGTCTGATTCAGACTCGGCCACCACTTCTGACGTCTCCGACTTTTCCGCCTTCTCCGATACTGATGCTGACTCGGCCTCGAACGAAAACCAACTCACGCTGAACCGAACGCTAAACCGCCAAATGACCAAACTCTTTGACCGAGAAATTACCAAACTCTTTACATCCGATTGAAAAAAATGTTTGGGTCCTCTTCAAAGAAACGGAAAAGGGAGTGAAAAAGAAACAACTCCTTATTCAATCAATCAATACCTTGGGGAGAAGAATGCCTCCCGGAGATGTTTAGAGGATGTCAAACTGCCTTTAGATGAGCAAAAGGCAAGGCCTGCTTATAGGCAACAAGCATGTACCCAACTTAAAGAGCGGATGCAACAATCCGAGCAGAAAGATTATCATCATGAGTGAATGGTGGATATTCATTCCACAACCGGTGGGATGCACCTCAATATGTACCATATAACATTGATTCCAAGTCGCAAACTTGATCTCCACGGCCAAAATTGAATTATATGAATTGGGGTACTTGCTCTTCTTGCCATGTATATATTTCTGAATCTTACGGTTTGGGATTCTCACTAATGATTGCATCCAATCACCCGCAACCAAAAATTAAACTGTAAACGACTGTTTGATCCATAATCTGGAGATTATTGAGTCGGAAAATATTGGCAGAATGTGGATTTGAGAGATGTAATGACGATCAACGGACGACAGATACCAGAAAATCTGTTCGCATCCAATCCTCAGCAGTTAATAACCGACAGGTTGATCTGGGTTCTTGAGTTCAAAAAGTAGGCAGATTGTTCCCATTGATGGCTGCGACCGACCAATACAAAAAAAATTGTGAACAAGGTGTGTCGTGCCCCCAGCGTCTTGCATCCACCCACGAATCAAAAAGGCGAAAAGGGCAAAAGAAGTTGAGGCCTACGGGATTCGAACACGTAACCTTCCGATCTGGAGTCGGACGCGCTGCCGTTGCGCCAAGGCCTCTTGATGAATTTTTGTCTTGCACTGTGTTACGAGTACGTAGAATTCATTGCATAGCGGAGCTTACATTGCGACTCTTTGCGAGATGGTAAGTAAGAGTCCAAAATAGAGTTCTTGACGACTAAAGTTGCGATAGGACTGTACCGCTGGCATACCAAAACCCCAGGTCCCGACCTCAAATGTCACAATCTCATAGATCTCACTAAACCCGATTAAAGTTGCTCACTATTCAGATTAAGGGGTTTCCCGCCCCTGTCGGAGCTGAGCCAGCCTTCTTTTCGAATGGATGTCCCTGATCAAATGAAACCTGTTTTTTCCTTCCATGATGTGGCTTCCGCTTCGATATTATTCGATTCAGGACCTTACACATTGTTGTATTGAATGTATTGATGAGGATGAATGCCTTTCAACTCACGCGTTACAGCTACGCGTTTATGAATTCGCATGCACCCAGTCTGTTGAGATCAATGATGGGGTTTAGATGTACTCGAGTATCGTAAATGCACAAGGGATGGATATTCCATTCCTCCGACCAACAAGGCTGTCCAACGCCCCTAGGGCGCACATTGCGTTAAATCTCATTATTTCAACTGACCCTGATCATGATCAATTACTCTGGTTAAAGACAATATGACTACTTGGATGTATTGTCCTGGTAGCGGAGTTGAGAGAATGAGTATTGAGTACGTACGTGGGGATTGAACGTGCAGTAGGAGTTGCATCGCTCTTTCGACAATTACCAAAGTACCATTGCGTTCAACTGAAGCGATTCTTCTTTGCATACCCACGCATCCACCTCATACGAATGTTCACGAACCGCATGAGACGCATCAATGGCGGGACCGCAGGATCATGCACCATATCTGGACGATAGTCCGCCGTTCTAACTTTTCCACAACGATGCATCAGCTCGTCAAGCGCATGTGCATCCCGGCCCGCATTCAAAGCAACATTCCGTTCAAACAAAGCGATTCGTTTGGAACGATGGAGCATTACCCACCGTACTGCATCTTCAACCTCATCCGAGTGTCTCACGATCCGCAAGAGACGCATCAATGACAGCAGGATCATGCACAAAATCGCGACGATTGTCCGATGCCAATACACATGGACGTCGCCGTTTTAGCTCTTCGACAACGATGCATCATCTTGTCGAGCGCATGTGCATCCCGGCCCGTCGTATTCAAAACAACAATCGAAGCGATTCTTCTTGAATGATGACCATGCCGATGGCATTACATCTTACCCGACAACAATACGACGACTTGCAAGATCCTCTGGCACATGTCTGCTCAACTTGGAACAACAAACTTAAAGCAGGCAAAAAGTTCATCAGACAAAAACTTACGATGCGTCAAAAAAGAGCAGTTTTAAACTTGTAAGTAGGCATCTCACTTGATATTGAAATAATGAATGAGTAAACATATCATGTCTTCAATCAGGTGCCCAGCAAAAACCAAAAGACACATGAGTGGATCAAAAGTCTTCTTTTGGGGAATGAAGATGGACATCCTCAAGAGACGCAACACTGGAGCGATTGTTGTTTTCCGACACCGAGACAAATATTCATTCCAACATTAAAGAAAAGACAAAGAGAGACCAAAAACAAAAACAAAAACAGGGGAGACGACCAAAAAAAAACAAAAGAAGACAGATGACCAACCAAAACGACGGGGGAGAGAAAGGGAGACGAGGAAGACGGTCGGTGAGAGTGTGTGTGTGTGAGAGAGAGAGAGAGAGAAAGAGAGAGAGAGAGAGAGATGGCAATCAAATAGACAGGCGGCGGGACAGGGCAACACGGCCTGGATACGGGGAGAACTTCTTGCCTGGGCTATCCCAGCGGCGAGAGGGTGGTCGGGTTGATGGAGAGGATGACGGGGATTTGGCAGCGGTGCTGGCGTCGGATGGGGACGTGTCCGAGGACGACGACGACGACGGTGCGGTGAAAGTGGGGGAGTGGTTGCTTGGAGATGATGAGGGGGGTGTTGGGATGCTTGGCCGCTTTAGGTAGCATTTGCCTGCTTTCTGGTGACGATGGAGGGCGTCTTGTCGGGTGAAGCCCACCCCACAATGGCCACACGAGAATGGTTTTTGGCCATTCAGGTGCGTTGCCTGATGGCGGTTCAGGTCTTGCTTTCGCAGACATTTGGCGCCGCATGTGCCGCATTGAAACTTGCGGACACGGGTGTCCTTCGTTGGATCGACCTTCCGGCGTGGTCGTTTGGTGGGAGGATGGGAAGAGACAACGGCGGGGAAAGGGGAAGAGATGTCGAGGGTGACGACGGGGACGACGGGGACGACAGGAGTGGGTGGGAGCTCACCAGCGCACGAGGAAGCGGAACCATCCGACAGCTTTTCAGCTGCCCGGTACGCGAGGACGTCGTATAACAAAAAATCGTTATATGGTGGGCTGCTGCTGCTGCTGACGGTGCCTTCCAAAGACGGTGTCTCCGTCCACAAGGACGAGTAGTGTGAGAGAGTGGTGTGTTGAGGATGCATGTGTGGCGAGAGATTCATGTGGGTTGGGGGTGAAGAGACAGGGGAAGACTCTCTGCGTCTTCTCTTTATAGCCCTGAAAGTTTGATTGTGGGAAGCGCTCATCACTATTTCGCACCGAAAAACATTGGGGATACCGCTCAGAAGAAATCAGTGCAAGGGTCGAAAACTCCGACGAAAAGAATACTCCGAAGTGTGAAGAGTGTCATGCGCCACAAGCGTGGATGTCTTTCTGGAATGAAGGATGGGGTTCAAGTCGGCGGTGACGGCCCATAGTGGGGATTTTGCGGTATCCCCAGCGAGGAATATTGGGATCCTAATTAGGATATGGAGTTCGACGGACAATAGGAGTTACCAGCTGGGAATAGTCAAGTTTGTTGGGTTTCCGTGGTATCCAAATTTGGTCCCATGAAAGGGAAGATGTTGATTCCGTGCAGCGATGTGGAAAAGTCACTAAAGAGTGATTGGAGTTGCTCTCATTCACAAAGGTAATTATGAATTTTCCCTCCATTTTTCCTTGGTGCCTATTGCTCATGCCTATAGCTTTATTTATAGTTTGACCGGGATGATTTCTATCTTTTATCTTACAACCTTCTCTTCGACACAACAATGGTCGTCGCTGATAACTTTCTTTTACGGGTCTCAAGGGACGACCAGTCACGGAGACTTAAAGCCAAAAAGAACTCCGACTAAACTCCGACACAAACATGCGGGCACGGCCTTTTTGGGGGTTGGGGCATTTTTATTCGGCACTTTTGGATCTTTCTTGGTGCCAATCCTGCGGGTTGTGGAAACGATTTTTATTTATATCGCAAGAAAAGAGAGGCCTCGAAGTCGGTCGGAATTTTGGAAAAGCGCGTTTAGCTCAGCAGGATCGAAGCTGGTTGATCCGGCAAGCGGTTGAAATGGAGCGGCCGCAAACTCGATTGGCCATTGTGAACTCCGACATTGACAGGTGGGAACTTTGGCCATCGCCAGGGGGACACCTCGCCGCAGATCCGCCGCAAGGGGCCTCAGCAAGGGGCACTGGAGCTGTCAGTCGTGAGTTTTTGGTTGAGCGCCAGAAAGACTGGAGGACCTGGAAAAGATACTTTGACAAAATCTGCGGAAGAAGGTCTGAACCGACGTTTGAAACCGGGAGAGTGACTTTTGAAGTTTGTCGTCAACTCGATTTCAAAGATGAAAGTATTTGAGTATGCAGAGAATCCGTCGTCAAGAGCCTCAGAAGCAGCACCTTTTGTTTCAGGATTATTGGTTCCTAAAGTTGGACAGCTCCAGAATGAAGTTTACCGCTTACCGACTTTTGGAGACGTTTGAAGTTTTTTGGCGTCAATCCAAACTCCAAGGTGGAGGTCGGTTCGTTTGTAGAGAAGCCGTCGTCAAGAAATTTTGAAGCAACCCTCCTTGTCTCAGGACTGGATATTACTGGTTTTTGACATTTGACTATCTTCCCAAACTGTTTATTTTGAGTTGAGGTTTTGATTCAACACAGTCGCCGCCTAACGTCTCCTTCGTTGCAGGCAGGACTTTTACCGGAAATTTTATTCGCAAAAACTCGGATCCATCACCTACTCCAACGCCCCCTTTTCAAAACCTGGATCAACTATTCCTGTGTCAACGATTTGGCTTTCTTATTGAGCGATTTTATTTGGAGTCGAATTTCTGACTGGACAATTCTTGTATGCAACTAGTTCCCACGAATCGAACTTTCTCAAAATGCCGCACGAAGGGATCGTGTACCGTTCATAATCCGACCAGCTGAGTGAGCAGTCTGCAATTTTCAAATTCCCGCAATCCGCTGTCAAATCTCGGTGGTTCAGGCTTACTCAGGCGTTCCGTTCAAAGAAAACCTCTGATTTCGTAAATTATACCAAATGACACACTCCTAAACCGCACGACACCGGTTTATAGGTGAAGATTGGCGTTTGGCTTTGTTGATGCATCGGTTTTGCAAACATACATCTCACTGGATTCGGCTCTCCCAAGATTTGCAGATTGAGTTTTACACAAAGCTTTGTTGAAAGATTTATGCTGATTGTAATTTGAGTTTAGGAGTATCCGTAGAAGACACTACTATATGTGCTCGATATGATGACAACCGAACATTACGACACTTTCCGTCGAATCAGACGATACAAGTCAAGATTTTCTCAAAACCGCAGTAATGTTCTCGCGCGCCAATTTGGACATATCAAGTTGGCCCTTCGTACATATTCAGCAATTGTTGCCTTGCCTTGTCACAACCAAGATGAAGTCTTTGAACTTGGCAAAACGTTACGAGCCTCTCGCAACCCAGAACTTACAACCTACCGACACGTTCTCGGCTCGGTGCAAGATATACCAGAGCCGAGAACCTTTCGGTATCCCAATATTCATTACGCGCAACCTTGGGCTCTTTAGTGGTGGAAAGCTATGTAAACCTTAACTCAATCATGTACGCATTGCATATCATTATCATCACTTGATATTTAATGAGCTATCGTGAGATTTACATTGTCGCATTGGGA